TAATTTTGTATTTCAATTATAGCACTTGATAAGGACCAGAACCGCCTACGTCACTCTACGCCTTGTTTTTCATTATACCGCATTCGAATCATTTCCATCCATTATTATTAGAGATTATTGTGATTTTAGATTTTTTTATTTGTTTTATTGTGTTATATATTTTATACTTTTCATTTATTTTATTTTAGTGTAATATACACCTTTTTGCATAAATAATAGATTATGCGATTATTATAAAAATGTAGGCATAAAAGAATTACCTCTGAAGAAATATTCTTTTCCAAGGCTCGAAAACTCGACCAAATTTCTTCTTACATAATCTGAAGCCATAAATATCGTAAATGCTGATACCATCGTAGCCGAGAATGTTCTCTATTACATGGTCTGGTAGACTCTTTATCTGTTCTCCCGTTTTTGTATCCATTGCGAAAGAAAAACTAAAAAAACAGAGGAAATAATATAAATATAAATAATCTCAACCAACATTTGTATAATTAATTCTCAGCATATAAAAGCATACCTCTTTAATGCAATACGGTTCTTATATATCTGTGGATTGAAGACACAAGCGCGTGTATTTTATTAGTACACAGAATGTTACAGAATAGCGAAATATAACAACTGTTTTAGATTTTAAAATAAAAACATTTTATTATACTTCAGAGACAGCAGACAAACAAGTTTGTCCTTTTTGCTGTACATACACTATAATATCAGTAAATGCTTTTATTTAGTAAAATAGAACGTACATAAACAGGCCAACTTAAAAACGAGCAAATTATTTAGGTGTACAAATAATTAATTTATTGACATAAGATAAAATAAAACGTATACGTTTCGACTATAACGACAGTTTTCCTCAATACATAATTTCGTAAAGAATATTACTGGTCAAGATTTTTAATAATTGGAAAGACATGAAATTAATTCTATTATGTTGTATATCAACGACCAAACTAAAACTCATTTTATGCACAATCAAACGACGCAATGACTATAATATGGCTACCACAACATGTGACTTAAATACATTGCTGAATAATTCGGATCTCATTCCGTTCAAATGCAAAGACACGAATGTCAGGATTCCTTAGGAAGTCAGTTATTAACCACGTCACAAGCCTCTTTCTATGGTCCATATTTAAATAGTGTTAATTTTGTATGAGTTGTATGTCAAATTGAAAAAACTTATTTTTTAACATTGTTAACAAGTACCGTAGAAAGTTTTAACTGCTTTTATTTAGACTTTTTTTTGTTATACATATATATTTTAAAGCAATCGGGAATATCGTAAAATACCCTTCGCTCGAGATCGCCTCTTGTGAATAATTCCCGAATTTCAAACAAAGATATTCTTTTTTTTACTTGTAACGAGAGCGTCTCTTTCTCCTTACCTCCCTTGAAAATTATAGTGGATTTCCCGCATTAGCGGAGAGATTCGTGGTTTTCTTTATCTCATTCCTCGAGAATCATATAGATTTCCCGCACTAGCAGAGAGATTCGCGGTTTTTTCCTTCCTCGAGAATTATAGTGGATTTCCCGCACTAGCGGAGAGATTTGTAATTCTTTTCCTTCCTCGAGAATCATAGTGAATTTCCCGCACTACTGGAGAGATTCGTGATTCTTTTCCTTCCTCGAGAATCATAGTGGATTTCCCACACTAGTGGAGAGATTCGTGATTTTCTTCAACCTCCCTTCTTCCCTCCAAGGTGCATATAGAAATAAATCTTACCATTATATAAAGACAAAGCGTGTTTTTCTTGTCCACGCTAACTGAAAAAACTACCTTATTAATCGGTACCAAACCTTTTTTACATGATTGTGGGCATAACGGAGAAGGAACATAGAATAGTTTTTATGTCATTATTAATTGATTTTGAAGAAAATCTCAACATTGCGGAATGCGACGGAAATAAGTATGTTACTTGCAAAACACAAAAATGCAGCTACCTAAACACAAGTTTTTTTTTCATTCGTAAAATTTAAACAACCGACCCCATTAAATTAGGAAGGGGACTGATAAACGAAATGTTTTTCATTCATATAATTCGCTACCGCGCTCATTGAATTATAGTACTTAAGCTATAAATTTTTCGTTATAGTAAGTTTTTTGTATCTTATATATCTTATACAGATTGTTTTAGGTGAAAAAAAGCGAATCATTCGATTTAACATATCTCCGTTATTCTGTTAATCTATTGAACTAATAATAATAACAATATGCCAAGATCGTCGAGAAGCTCTCTTAGTCGAAGAACTAGAGATGCTAGACAACAGGCTACACTGCGGTTACATGAGACTGCTCATGAGTCAGTCTCGGTTCTTTAGACAAAGACATAACTGATTCTATGCGTAGAACTTCTAATATAACTCCGCAAGAAGAGTTATAATATCAAGTAACAGCCACTCTTAAAAACCGATCGGCTTTTGAATACAATCCTCACCTTGATTATAGTCGCTATAAATACAAATTGACGCAATGGATAAAATATGCAGTCATTGTAAAGCCAAAAAATGGAAAGATGAAGCCCCTGGCATGTGTTGTGCTGGTGGTAAAGTATCACTTCCAAACATTGAGCTGCCAGATTCCCTCAAAACGTTAGTGTTAGGAACTCATCCTTTATCAAATAATTTTCTTAATAATGTAAGAAAATATAATACTTTATTTCAGATGACCTCTTTTGGAGCAAAAATAGTTATGGAACAAAATTTTATGCCTGCATTTAAAATTCAATGGCAAGTTTACCATCGTATAAGAAGTTTATTTCCAGCTTCTGGTAATACTCACTAATTTTTGCAAATATATTTCATCTCTGATGCCGATCAAATTTCTCTCCAAAGTAATATTGCTCCAAACTTAAGTATTGAAGTAATATCTATTCTAAAAAATGTTTTAAATGAAAATAATAATTTGATCAAGGATTTCAACTATAATCTTGAAAATAGATCTTTATGTGATCGTGAAGATTTAAAATTGATAATTTATGCCGATCGCGTAACCGTTAATCAGCACAGAGGTCGATATAATGCACCAACTAATAATGAAGTAGCTGTTTTACTGGTTGATGGCGATAAAGAATCTAGAGATATTGTTTTAAATGGTCGAGATAAACAACTTCACCGAGTTTCAGAGCTACATCGCTCTTATGATCCCTTGCAATATCCGCTTATGTTTCCGAAAGTTGAAGATGGTTATTATTTAACTATCGTTTTAAATGGTAATAGTGAACGAAAAGTTTCCTGTATGCAATTTTATGCATACAGACTTATGATAAGGAATAATTACGATAATTTTTTACATTATTATAAATTTCTATTCAATCAATATTGTGTTGATATGATAGCTAAAATGATGACCGAAAGATTATCATTCATTCATAATAATCAAAAACATTACGAGCCAATGATTATATACATTTCCGGGATGCTGTGCAACAAGATGCTAATATTAATGCTAATAATATCGGCCAACGTGTAATACTTCCCGCAACAGTAACTGGATCACCACGTTATATGCATGAGAAATCTCAAGATGCTATGACATATGCGCGCAAACATGGGCGCCCAGATTTGTTCATTACTTTTACGTGCAATCCTGAATGGCCAGAGATAAAAAACAAACTATTTCCTGGTCAAACATCAAAAGATAGACATGATCTAATTTCTAGGGTTTTTCATTTGAAAATGAAGAAATTTTTAGACATTATCATTAAAAAAGAAATATATAATAAAGTAAACTGTTACTCAGTAAGTGTTGAATGGCAAAAACAAGGTTTACCTCATTGTCACATATTAATATGGTTAGAGATTAAAATAAACCTGATGAAATTGATCTTATAATTTCTGCTGAACTCCCAGATAAAAATATTGACCCAATATTACATGAAATGGTACTTAAACACATGTGTCATGGTCCATGTGGAAATATAAATAGATCATCGCCATGTATGATAAATGAAAAATGTTCCAAAAAATTTCATAAGGCATTCATTTCTGATACTCAAACTACAGATGACGGTTATTCGTCTTACCGCAGAAGAAGTCTTGAAGATGCAAGTCAAATAGCAACTTTAAACATACGTGGTAATTTGATTGACATAGACAATAGATGGATTGTTCCATATTGCCCAGTTTTATTACGATGTTTTAATGCACATATCAATGTTCCCAGATAGCCACAGTAATTATTATGACATCATTTTGATGGAAAATGATGCATTTTGACATCAAAATGATGTCATAATAATTACTGTGGCTATCTGGGTTGAGTTCTGTCATTCTGTACAAGCGATTCGATATATCTGTAAATATATTACCAAAGGTCCTGATCAAGCCACTTTTGTGATTAAAAATGAAAACGATGAATTGACCAAATATCTTAATGGTCGATACATATGTTTATCTGAGGCTACTTGGAAATTCTTTAGCATTACTCCAAGAGGTTGGTATTTGTTGTTGTTCTAAACATTTGTTTAAGAGGTTAAGCAATACTACCTCCAGAGGTTTTCCTCCCATTTTTAACATTTTACTTGTCACCCTGTCTTCTTTTGGGGTCTTTTGGTTTTTCATCATCTTTATTGCTACCCACAGTTTATCTTTATCAATTCCTGAAATCTTTTCCGAACTGACATTTAGGATTTTTTGTCCTCTAATTCCTACCTTGTCCGGCCTTGGAGATGCTACACTGTATAGCTTGCGATAAAATCTTTGAATGGTGTCGGTGATATCATCTTTATCTGTGATTATTTCTCCTTTTTCATCTCTTATAGCGCAGATCTTTGTTTTACCTCTTGCTATCTTGGAACGTAGAACTTTCATATTGGCGTTCCCCTCAATAGTTTTGCGGGCTAGTTCGGTACTATGATTTCGTAAATCTCTCTGTATATTTTTCCTGATCTTTTTGTTTAGATCTTTGTATTCTTCTAATTCTCTATTCGTTTGCCGTCGTTTTTCCATGAGGTGTTTAGTATCTGTACTTAGCTTGTTGTTCTTTTTTTGTTTTATTTGTGCACTAATTTTTTTGTGGCTATTTGAATACTTCTGGTGATCCTCTCCGACAGTTTGTTGATGTTCATTCCTGCTAGATCTTGTGGCTGTAATTTTGTTTGAAGTGTTTCCTGGTATTCTAGCTGTTTTAATTCCAATTCTTTTAATATGGGTCTGAAGGTTTTTGTCTTCATCAGCTTATGCCTTTCCCGTTTGATGTTGATTAGGATCGTGGCCCTTACCAGATAATGGTCACTTCCAATGTAAAATTTATTCAAGACTGAAACATCTGTGCATATCTCCTTGGTATTTGTGAGGATGTAATCGATCTCGTTTTTTGTCAAGTTGTTTGGGCTTTTCCAAGTCCATTTCCTTTGAGGTGATTTTTTGAAGAAAGTGTTCATGCAGAATAAGTTTTCGCTGCCGAGATAATCCAACAACATTTGGTCTCTGCTATTTCTGACCCCCAAACCGTATGGTCCTATAATTTGAAGATCCTCCGTTGTCCTTGGGCCCATCTTAGCATTAAAGTCTTCCATGACCACCGTAAATTTTGCCTTTTCCGCTCTTCTTGCTGTACTCACATCCTCGTATAGGTGCTCTATTTCCTTATCTTCCGCTGTGGTGGTCGGCGCATAGACCTGTATCACCTGGATGGTGTATCTCTGATTTAACTTCATCACGATGTAAATGACTCTTTCTGAAGTGGCCCTTGTTTTAGTGACAAGGTGTTTTAAGTTTTTGTGAACCATGATCGCCACTCCTCCATTATGTGTATTGTTGATAGAGTTATTCTGATATAGCATATGTCCCGATTTGAGCACTGTCCCAACCTCACCCATCAGACGTGTCTCGCAAATCCCTAAGACGCTCCACTTTATGAGTTGCAATTCATGTTCCAGTTCCTCGAGGTGCTCATCCAATCTCATGGTTTGTATATTATATGTCGAGATCCAGAGTTTCTTTTGGTTCTTCCTACTATTTCTTTTCCTTGCTATCGGATTTTTGCCTCCCCCAGAATCCTTGAAGTAGACTGATAAATCAGCACGAGATTTCAGCTCTCCGGCTGTACTCGCCTGAGGTAATTGCGTTTTAGATTCGACATTTTATGGGTTAAAAGGTGTTGGCAATAAGTTGCCACGCTTGCCAGGCGGGTTGGTGACTACCTGTTGGTCCGCGGGAACTATTTTATTTCATTCCTACCCTCCAGACTATTAGGTCTGGCGAGTTTTCCCCTATCTGTCACCTGGGGACACGGTGCCTTGGGCTTACAGACTGCCCCGACAGTTTATCAAATATCCTATATAAATTATATTTTACGAATCTTATTATTTAAGAATTAAAGTGTGTTATAAGATAAAAAAAATTGTGTGGGTATTTATTTATTTGATATTCAACTGATGCGTTAATCAAATAAATAATTTTCACGAAATGAATTTAAACACTAAATTATAAATTAATTTATTCACTTATTTTAATCAAGAAATCTAATTGCGTGAATAATCTCATTTTGTATTAAAGTAACATTTTTACTAATTCATTAATTAATAAGCCATGCCATATGATTCGCAAACTTTTTATTGTAATATTATAATATTAATCAATTACCATTTTTACCATCGTAAATTATTTGGTCTCGATATGGCACGAATTCATGAAAAAGTAATTGTATCAATTTGTTTGCATCGTACTAATTGGATGATTTGATACATTCTAGAAAAGTGCCTATAATAATTTTAGTAATGTATTTTTTTTTGTAATATATATTTGTTGTATGATTGTAAAACATATTTTGCCTATATGACATCTACATTTAATAATGTTTCATATAAAGAATTTCTTTTCTCTTTTTTTAAGAAACAAAGAAAGTTTTTAAAGAGTTGTGCTATATATTGATTACAAAAAATGTATATATGTTATAAATTTTATTACGTAATGTCAGAATTTATACCTTGATATTTATTCAACAAGATTTGTCCGACATCATGTAACATCCCTAGTCTTACGTCTATAAGCGGAATGCAAGTTTTGTTATCGTCACTTCGGAAAAATATACTCAAACTCACTTTTATTCATTTTTGTGTAATAATTAGGATTCCGTAAAAGTGTTTTTTCCTTTGACAAGTATTGTACATTAAGATTAATTAATTAAGACTTTCACTGTGATTCATAAATTATAATTTCAACGTATTGAAAATAGTCACATAAAGAAAATAATACGTTAGTTTAAAAAAAATTAATTCTTCTTTTAAACTTATTGTTAGATCATTTCTTTTAAGCATAGAGTACAATTGCATTATTAACTAGATAAATAAAATATTTGACATAAAGATTTTTATTTTAATAAGCACTGCCCAAACTCTTTGAAAAAAATGTATTATGCATTATTTATTGCAAAATGTGCTTTCTAACTTTCATTTATTTAACAAATAAAATTTACATTTACGCTCTTTTTGCGTTCAGATAGCCAGGAAAAAAATTATAAAAACCCAGTACTTAACATTTTTTCTAGGACTCATATTTTTCGAGTTATTCTGCTGTTCTGGTACTTTTATAACATCCTGTGTGTATATATTGTGACGTGACGTTTTTTACTGTCCGTCACAAGGGCCGAAGGCCCGGCCGGGAAGGCGGGAAATTCGGGAACCTTTGCTCTCTCGCCAATCTTTGAGAGAGAGAGAGAGCACCCGAAAAGTAGTTTTGCGTTTTCTTCCGCGTAGGAGGATGCGCCCCGCGCATCCGTTCCGCGAATTATTTTATTTATAATCTTTGTTTAAGCGATTTTTGCGTTTTTGGCGAGCAATTTTGCATAGGGTACGTGTCTCAACCGGAGAAACAGAAAGAGAGAAAGAGTGAGAGGACGGAGAGGACGGAGAGGACGAAGAGGACGATTTAGGAGCAGAGGCCACCAAGTCCGGATCACGCCCGGTAAATATTATTCTCACATAGATTTTCTGGATTGCTCCTCCCGTTAAGAACCTGGATACCGCCGTAAAATGTTCCTTCTTTCGCAGAGATTCCGGCCAGAGACGGGGATGGCCACTCTCTCGCGAGAGGCGAGAGAGCCCCGGAAACTAGAGGCACGGGAGACACACTGCCTCGAGCCTCAGCCTAATCGGATGTACGAAAGTTCACCATCGATCAAACAATCGATCTGGCGGATTTTTGGAGGAACCGCACAGAGGCGCGCTCATAGGAGTCTCCCCGACGAAAATAAAGAGGAATAACGGAACCCGAAGCGGAAGCACAGAGGAACGGCGAGAGAAAATTTGCATCAAGCAAATTCGCAGGGCCCCGCGGGGCACCCGGCGGCCCTGCCAGGATAAGGAGCGCCACGGGTGGAAAATGCCCAATTTATTATCGGCGTGATCCCGGCAGGCCTCTTGCTCGTCACTGTCCGGCGGAGCGTTCTCGAGAGCAGAGGTTCCTGCGCGTGGATGCCGAAGCATCAAAGGACCCATCGCTACCGGTGAGACGAACGGCCCTATATTCTTGTAAAGCCGCTAAATTCTTTTTGTGAGTACCGTATTCGGGAGAGGAGCGTGTCCCGGCCGCGACCGGTTATTAGATTCACCGGTGTAATTTCGTGATATTTCGAGAAGTTTGATTTAGAGTTTCGTTCCGCGTGGAATTTACCCCGGCGCCCGGCCGACCGCGTGCTCTCTCCCGCGCGTATATTAAGAGAGGCTCTCTCCCCCGCGGATACGCCGACAGTCGCCGCGATTTTGGTCACATTAATGTAACATCAAAGTATCGTCTCGTAATTACTGTGTTGTTCTCGTCTATTAGGATTTCTATATCGGAGAATGGAAAATTGTCTAGAGTCACGCATAAGAAATAGCGTAATCTTTCTCGCGCATATCATCATTCGCGCATTTTTCTGATTCGTTGTAATATTGTGCGAGGGACGACCGGCGTGATCGATCTCAAAGGAAGTCGCGCGGGACCTACTCGAGTTTTCGAAAATTTTGTACTGCCTAGAATCATCAGAATGAATTACGTCGCACGGACCTTATTAAGTCTCGTGCGTTAATAATTATTCGACACGTAGGCGTGCGAATTTACTTCCGGGTCCCGCGTGTCGTTCGATATCACCGCGTCGGGTCGTCTCAAAGGCGCGGAACAATAACAACGCGCCGCGTCTCGGCCGTAAATACGCCGTATTGTATTGTCCGAATCAAATTTCGGCCTCGTTTATTTGTATTTCGGCGTCACTAAAACGGAGATCCCTCCGTAGTATACCGAAAGAATATTGATTTTTCTTTCTGGACCTAACAGGTCACTCAAGCTTGTATACAATTAATTTTTCTGTTTATCTTCGTTCATCATTGTTCAAATATATTTCATGCTTGTTACATTTGAGCGATATTACATAGCCTCTCTCGAATTCCGTCCTCTCTCCCGTCCGAACTCCCCCCTCTCCCCTGACGATCTGAGCGAGTCGATTATCGCCGTCGCGGAAATTTTCGGGATGATTTACTGATTATAAAGGTCCTCGGTCGATTTGTAAATTTTCAGAGTGGCGCGAATCTCGCGCCTGGCGCCCAATTAAACATATTTTTCGTGTTTACGCGAATCTCCCGCCTCCGCGCCGAAGGTGTGCCGTCGGCCACTTACATCGGCCCGATTTCCCGGATCTTTATCGATCCGACGGACTAATATCAAAACAACGGTTACAATACGTATATATTATAAATAACAATAAGTGTTTGTAACAAACCCTAGTGTCATTCCGTGCAACATAATTTTTGACCATTTATTTATTTTTTTTGTAATCTAATTTTCATATGATAGCAGCTGAAGAAACAACAGTGAATGCCGAAACGTTCCGGAATTTAAAGATTGTGATTTTCTGAAATAATTAAAATTCTCTCCTCAAAGTTAAAAGTCGACCAAACTGGCAATCATTTATTATAAATAATTAGTTGAAATACAACGTTTCGGCTGTCATTGCAGCCCTTTTCAAGTATATCTATAAAAAGTTACATAAAATAATTATAATTTTAATACACTTTATTGCTACAAATAATTATACATTCAAATACAGAAATATGCTACATACCAAATTAATACAGTAAAATAAATTCACTGCAAACTACCGACAATATTCACCATTGTTAAAATTGTTAAAATTATATATAATAATTATATACAATAATTGTTTATATTTAAATCTATTTCACCCTCATCAAAAGGCCTATACATGATTCATTGTAATTTTTATTAATTGTGCCAGAAGGATTGCGGGATCGGGAAAAGCGAAAGTCAGGCGGCCGAAAGTCAAACAACGCAGCACACGCGTAACGTTAACGAAAGAAGTTATATTTACGACACTAACACCAAAACAATTACATTGAACAGTCCGCAAAGAATTAATCAAGAAAATTGCAATAAAACCGGATCGAGTATAATAAATCCGCACGTAATCAGTCCAAAGAGCAAGCGAGTCGAGAATATAAGTATATCTGTCCACAAGCAACGGTAGTTAGCACGAAAAAAGGCAAGCTATCTTTTTCGGAAAATTGCACTCTGTTTGCGTAGATGTACTGACGAGAAAGAACCCCGCGGTCTCGCGAGAGGAGGTTTATATTGACTAGAAATTCGCGAACGTTCTCGAAGTAAAAGAATATAATCTCTAAAAACTCACCTTTAAAAAAAGGTAAAAAAAGGCGACCAGTTAAGGGCACGCCATTAACAAAAATTATCCATTGCAAACCCATGTAGAATCCTATCCTATTGCAAACCCATGTAGAATCCTATGAAAAATTAATCATTGCAAACCCATGTAGAATCCTAGGCAAAATTAACCATTGCAAACCCATGTAGAATCGTACCCATTGCAAACCTATGTAGAATCCTATGAAAAATTAACCATTGCAAACTCATGTAGAATCCTATGAAAAATTAACCATTGCAAACCCATGTAGAATTGTATTAAAAATTATCCATTGCAAACTTATGTAGAATCCTACATTGCAAACCCATGTACAATAGAATTGTATGAAAAATTATCGATTATAAACCCATGTACAATCGTAACAAAAGTAATGAAATAAAAAAAAATTGCGCCAAGTGAAAGTAGAAACTTGTACCAGTGGAAAATTAAAGTTGCAGACATATATAGAGTCGTATAATGAATCAGTAAAAATTTAAATTTGCAAATGTAGAATCGTACCATAAAAAAACTTATCTTTTAAAAAAAAAGATAAACAAGATGCCAAGTCCATGCGCCATGTGAAAAAGAAATAAAAAAATTTTAGTTAAAAAAACTGGGCGCGCTGCTAAGTTTCAAAATTACAATGCACCTTAAAGTAACATTAATTAATTTAAACACAAAACATATTTTAACTGTAATGAGTTTAAAAGTAACAATTTAATTTTAATATTGTTAGAATATTATTTAGCAGCGCTCCCAGTTTTTTTAACTAAAATTTTTTTATTTCTTTTTCACATGGCGCATGGACTTGGCATCTTGTTTATCTTTTTTTTTAAAAGATAAGTTTTTTTATGGTACGATTCTACATTTGCAAATTTAAATTTTTACTGATTCATTATACGACTCTATATATGTCTGCAACTTTAATTTTCCACTGGTACAAGTTTCTACTTTCACTTGGCGC